CAAGCAACACTGACTCTTCAAAACAGGCCTTAGTTAAAAAAAAAAAAAAAAAAAAGATGCCATTTGGACTAGCCAGTGTGCTTGATGATGCTAGCCCAAAACAGTTTGCAGACTGCCACTGGGCCTCAGGTCCAAGGAAGGAGTAAAGAGAGGGAAGGAGATGAAGAACTTTGAATATATAGTGTTGAGAATTGGGCATTTTTAAAACTTAACAAGAAGTTACAGGTAGGAAACCAATAAAGAAAATACCTCTTTAGAAATCACCCATATGGGGCTGACAAGGTGGTTTAGAGAGCAAAGGTGCTTGCTGCCAAGTCTGACAACTTAAGTTCAATTCCTGAAACCTACATGGTGGAAGTTTCCACACATTATCCTCTGACCTCCACACTTGTGTGTGCCTGTGTGTGTGTGTGCCTGTGTGTGTGTGTGTGTGTGTGTGTGTGTGTGTGTGTGTGTGTGTGTGCGCGTGTGTACACATCAAGCTGTTCCTCAGGCATAGGGGGCAGGGACACACATTCCAGGAGTTGAGTTCAGGGTGTTTGTCTTCTTCATATGGCAGCCACAGAACTGTGACTCATGAGTGTCTGTGGGACACTACAGTGAACATATTGGAGACATCACATTGGTGAAGGCCAAAGTAAAAGACTCAAGTGTCTGATGGGAGCTGCAAGTGTTAGAGTGAAAAGACGATGTTAGAAGAACAGAAAAGAATCAGGCGTGGAAGGTTTTGCAGGACATGCCAACGGTTTTTAGATTATGGGGTGAGGGGGTTGGCTACTTGAACAGTTTCAAGCACATTGGCATTTTGGATTGTGTACTGTAAAAGGTAGTCAACCCAGAGGCAGAGAGAGCAACAGGAGTCTCTGGACGTGGTTCCCAGGAAATCTGTGTTAAAATTGGATTCTCACCAATGAGCAGCTGTGTCTCCCGCCCCAAGCATAGTTTCTGTGGAAACTCCAAAAGGGTTCTCAGCGGTATTAGGTAGAAACCTGTTCTCCTCCTTCCAGACTTGGGAGCCCACACTTGGTATGTGCTAGGTGTGATGGAGAAGTGGATGGGATCTCATGCGTTATTGCCATTTCTGGCTACGGGGATAAGACAAAACCCCAAAGCCATGCCTGGACAAAATGAGAAACAGATGACATTTCTGATTGCAAAAGTTGTTTTTTCCTTCTGGACACAGACAACATCCCTTCTCTCCATAGAATTAGAAGCTGTTCTTCATACTCAATGGCCTCAGAGGTCTCGCTCACCCGATCACCTGCACACTTAACATTTGTAACACTTCCTGAGGCCAATCTAGCTTACAAATTCTTTTCCTGCTGTGTGAGGGAAGCAGAGTCTGGTTCACAAAGCTTGCAAGAGACAGAAAGTGAAGGGGACAATAACTGATGACAATAACAATACAGAAATCTAGCCAGAAGGAAGATGGCCCAACATTAATACATAACAGACAAGTAGATCTCTCTCTCTCTCTCTCTCTCTCTCTCTCTCTCTCTCTCTCTCTGTGTGTGTGTGTGTGTGTTCATTCGCGTGCACGAGCATGTGTGTGTTTAATTTCAACAAAGGTGGGGAAAGTACAGCTGTGCACAGGTGTTTTGCAATTCATTGTCTAGATAAACAACTGACTCATGGCCCTGTTTCTCTTTCATGGAAAACAAACAACCAAGCCAGTACCTAAAGATGTACTCTTTAACCTACTGTGTCCTGTTATCACTTTCCCTAAAGATCCCCAGGGATCTGGAAAGAGAAAAGAGAAAGGAAGAAGGAGAAAAAAAATAAAAACCACAAAAATACTGGTTTTGTCTTAGGTGGTTTAAAAACTCTATGGGAAGAAGGCCCAATAGGCTGCCTAAAGTTACAGAATGGGTGGTGAATATGTAACCGCAGTGTGTTCCTCCTTGATGAGTGGCTTTGCCACCATCACCAAAGGGTATGAAATGACACAACTCTTGAGAATAGAAACACAAAGAGGGCCATATCCAGAACTTTATACTGTCTAGTAGCCTAACTGAAGAATTAAAAAAGAGCCAAAAGTGAATTTAATTCTGTACTTTTAACCCAGAGCATTAAAATGATCATCTCAATATGTCTAAACATAAAAATTATTCATTATTAATGCATTAATTATTTATTTTTCACATTATACCTTATAGCTTATAGCACATCTCAGTTAAGACTAGCCACAATTTAGGGACTCGTATGACAAGTGGCTGCCCTACTGGAGAATGCAGCTCTAGAGTTTCTTGGGCAATGGGACATCTTCACGATGTCCTTAGCCATATCCTCAAGAACTAATTTGCTTTTCTATGGCTGTTTTCAGCAAGGGCGTCCCCGCTCTCATGAGGCAAGGGCAAAACAATATGAAAAGAAAAGATGAGGTTCTGAGCCCAGTCAGTCCAGTCCCCAGGGATGTGCAAGCATCTACTTCAGATCAACCTGTTGAGGACCTGTTGTCACTAATGCCACTGAGCCAGCATTATGGGAGATGGGGAGGGGAGGTTGCAACAGAGCAGATGGGCCCCTCTCGTGGATCTCTAGTACCTTTCATATCTGGTTCTCAGAACCTGTATAGTTCATGTTCCCTAGTGTTTCCAATAATGATAGGAAGAAGAATGAACATCACAGGCGACATTAGTGCTAGAAGAGTTCTCAGAGGGCCTTTGCACAGCCTTCTGATGATCATAGCTGAGGACCATGAGATCTAGAATGTCAAAAACTTTTAGAGCATCCAGAGGTGAATAGAGGCCAAATCTTTCTAGCCTTGAGAATTCTAGGCTGACATTTATTCACTTGTACAACAGCTGATGTTCTCTAGGACTACCAAGGCTCAGGGTACTCCAGAAAAAAAGATTCAGTTGTCAGTGCCAGTCAGGTTAACACACCTGGAAATGTAAAGAGAAGGCCTCAGGATAAAAGCAGATGTATTTCTAGCATCCTCTGAGATTCATCTCACTGATCTTAGCGAACCTGGAGACAACTGGGTGCTTTGTGAGACCCAGAGACATGGGTGCTCTGTGTGAGCATATGGACACTGGAAAGCCTGAGTGAAATGCCCCTTCTCCAACTGTGATGCTGGCCTGAGCTCTCTGGCAGAATGCAGGACCATACTCTCTGAAACATGATATAAGCAATCCGTTTTTTTTTGGTTTTTCAAGACAGGGTTTCTCTGTGTAGCTTTGCGCCTTTCCTGGAACTCGCTTTGGAGACCAGGCTGGCCTCGAACTCACAGAGATCCGCCTGGCTCTGCCTCCCGAGTGCTGGGGTTAAAGGCGTGCGCCACCACCGCCCGGCATAAGCAATCCTTTTAAAGTAACCATGTCGGACTGGAGCAAGGCTCAGTTGTTAAAGGCTAGGCTCACAACCAAAAATATAAAGTAGCCATGTAGAAAAAGTTTCGATTACCTGAAACCTGGAGATATTGTCTTCTGGGAGAGAAAAACGAAGGATGACTTGCCTTCAGTGGAAGTCAGTTGGACCTTGCCAGAATCACTTCTAGGAAGTGGAAGCTTCAGATTCCTTCTCCAAGATGAACCTCGGTGCTGAGGACCACCAAATACCTCTACGTGATGGAAACAGCGTTCCAGCCACTGGGCTTGGCACCTACTCAGATCTTAAACCTATTCCTGTGGAGACCTTGTATGGGTAAAAGTAGTCGCTGACACACTGGTGGAGATGACCTTTGCCACAATGAGCACAAAGTTGGTGAGGACATCAGAGAAGACAGCAGAAGGGAAGGTGAAGAGGAAATATATTTTCTACTATAGAAAAATACGAGATACAAATCATATCACAGAGATGGTCTTCCCTGCAGAAGATGTTGGGGACCCTCAAACTAGGTTATATAGATCTTTACATCATTGAACTACCCATGACTTTTAAGCCAGAAAGAAATTTTATCTTAGAGATGAAAATGACAAATGGTTATATCACAGTAATATCTGTGCACTAGAAGACTGCAAAGACGCTGGCTTGTGGAATTCCTCCACTTAATTCCTGCTTAAGTGTCCCATTTTAACTGCAGGCTCCTGGAGCTCCTCTTGGATAAATCAGGATTCCAGGACAAAGCAGTTACCAAGCAAGCTGAGCATCACCCGTATATCACCCAACCGAAGCACTAGAAATCTTGCCAACAGCATGACACTGTTGTTGTTGCAGACAGCCCTCTGGGGACCTGTGGGAACCAAACATGTACCTTCTCCATCTGCGTTAAAGAGCATACTTCTAAACCCACTTGGGAGAAAGTACAGTAAGATGGCAGCTCAGGTTGGGTTGCATGTCAATATCCAACAAGGGATGGTTATAATTCCCAAAAGCTTCAGTCCTGAAGAGATTAAAGAAAATGTTCAGATCTTTGTTTTTTTTCTTTCAGTGAAGATGAGAAGCCTTTAATAAAAATGTCCTCTTTGTGGAACTGCTCATATGGGCTATCATCCTAAACACTCAATTCAAGATAAATACTGACTGTGGAAAGACCTTCCATAAACTCTTCTCTCTCATTCACAACCATGGGCTGTGTAATTGCCCCAGATGTGGATGTGAACAGAGTTTTGCTATCTTTCAGTGAAGTTGCCATGGGACACATTATGCTTAATGTTCATGTAGTATGACTTTGACTAAGTTTTAATTAAGAAAAAAAATCTGTGTAAATAGAACTTTTCAAATGCCTTGCTGTTGTTTTTAGATCAACGTTTCCTGGGTTGTTGATGGATAAAAATTAAACTTTACTCCAAAGGTGGCATATGAAGACAAATAACTCACAAAGCTGGCTATCATAGGAAGTCTGAGTTGTTCAGCATTTGATAGGTCAGCAAAAACATTGGAAGCTGGAATGTTGTAAGTTCTGGCCGTGGCCTTGACCTTCAATGGCTGTTTCCTTTGGTTACAAGATAGGTAAAATGAAGACAGAAATCCCAATGTGACTATCAAAAGGGAAGTGATTACTATACCTTGAGTAGAGAAAAAATTGGAAGTCTAGAAATGTCTTTTTTTTTTTTTGAAATTTGTATGCTGTTTTATTGTATGCTACAGCCAGTGTATATAAAATAGTTAAACCTTGTGAAACAGAAATCCATGAAAATTCAGAGAGGTAGATGTTAAGATCTGACAAGTAGAAGATTGTATATTATGGCACGCATTATAGAGAAGCTTTTGTACAGACTTCAAATTTAGTTCTCTTGAATATCCACTGGTTCATGAAAAGTGGTTTGAGAAACCTCAAGATACATGACTACAAAAAGGAGCAGACTTTCTGGGGTCTGAAGGGATTTTTACTTGAAGACACTCCAGTCAGCAGAGGGTCATGTTGAGCATTCTGCAGACAAAACTGTTTCAAGTCTGCAGCTGCCTGGGAAATCTTCACGCGGTTGAGCCCGGCCTCCAGCCGGAGCTGCTGAACCACCTTCTTCATGGCGGCAACGCTGGAAGAACCCGACATGGCGCTCGGGACAACCGTGCCGACTCGTCAGGCCAGGCGAGGGGCGGCAGGTCGCGGGGCTAGAAATGTCTTAAAGACTAACACATAGTAATTGGGCTGGGCCTGAAAGTCCATGCTGAGTGCTTTATTAGCATGAGTCAAAGCCACAATAATTTTTTTTTTTTTTTTTTTTTTTTTTTTTTTTTTTTTTTTGGTTTTTCGAGACAGAGTTTCTCTCTCTGTGTAGCTTTGCGCCTTTCCTGGATCTCGCGCTGTAGACCAGGCTGGCCTTGAACTCACAGAGATCCGCCTGCCTCTGCCTCCCGAGTGCTGGGATTAAAGGCGTGCGCCACCACCGCCCAGCCACAATAATGTTTTTATTATTTGTTTCCATGCAGTTCATGTGTATCTAGGATGGAAGATTACTGACTCTTTCTTATATCCTTTTTATCTGGGAGAGATGGGGCTTGAGACAAGGTCTCATGTAGTTTAGGCTGTCCAGACTCTACTGGCCTTCAACTCTGAACTCCTGGTCTCTCTTACCTTCTTAAGGGCCTGAACTTCCACAAAACTTGTAAGCCATACCTGTACTCTCCTAAAATCAGTTTTGTACATATTAATTAAGGAAACCATTCTGTGAGGTGGCTAGAAACAACCAACATATACAAATTAAACTTTGTACCGTAAAGTGGTATAAAGAGAGTTACTTTGAATGAATAAATTTTTTATTTTTTAAAATTGAAATACAATTAAATCATTTCCCCTTCCCTTTTCTCCCTCCAAACCATCCCATGTCTGTCTCACTGTGCTATCTCTCAAATTCATAACCTTTGGCCTCTTTTCCTTTAATTGTTGAATATATATCACATAAACATATACACACATATATACTGTTACTTGTATGTGTATGATTTCAAGGCTGATCACTTGGTATTGGATAACCAGTTGGAGGACTTCCTGGGGAAGACTATTTCTCTTACTTTCAGTATTTCTTAGTTGCCTGTAGTTCTTTGTCTAGAATTGATGCCCCACAAAATTTCTTTCCTCCATGCTATCATGCCTGTGGTATCATCCTTGTTTAGGTCCTGTGTAGGCAGTCATGTTGTTAGCACTTCATGGGTACAGCTCCCCTAACATTTCTAGGAGATACAACTTCACACCAGCTAGCCTATTCCTCTGGTTCTTACAATCTTTCTCACCTCTCTTTCATGATGTTCCCTGAGGCTTAGGTGCAGGAACTGTGCTATAGTTAGGTGAGTTGAGGGTGGGCACGCCATGGTCACTTGTTCTCTACATTTTGATGTTATGGTCTCTGTCCTTTGCAAATAAAAGTTTCTTTGCTCAGGAGTGAAAGCTATACTGACCTGTGGCTATAAGACTAAATACTTCAAATGCAGTTAGAAATTATGCTGATTTAGTGAAGTGATGATTACAGGTTTCTCTCCAAGATTCATGGCTTCATTAGCCCCAGGTATCTGGCTAGGTTTCCTGTATCAGGCATTATTTCCCTTTTGTTGAGTGGGCCTTAAGTCCAGTTAGAGAGCTGTTGGATATTGCAGGGTGTTTACCCACCAACCCCACAGTTCCCCAGAGTTTTCTTGAGTGTGAGCAGCAGGAAATATGAGACAGGAGGATTTAGATTGTGGAGATAAACAGATAGAAAATAAAGGATAGCCTCGAGAGGGCCTGGGACCTATTCCAATGGGCCCTGACTGTCTCTGCCCCAGGGTATTTATAGAGATGCCAAAGGGTGAGCAAAAGACCTCCCCCAGCACAGCCAAGTGCAGACCATCTCAGACACCTGCACTCAGGCCCATGGTCCTAATCATCCTTTTCTATGCGGACCTGCTGGGTAAAGCCACAAAGAACCTGAAAATGGGCTCCCACAGGATACCACCATGGTATACAGTGTGTCACTATTGTGCCTATAGGGTTCATGTTGTGCTGGTCATTGTTGTAGTAAATAGGCTTCATAGTTAGACAGGACTGTTTGCTTCCCTCCCATGGGAGCTTTCATGGTACCTTCTGGTACCAAGAGAGCTAGTCCTCAGGGAGGAAGCTTTCTGGTAAGACTCACATCATTCCAGTGCTGTGTCTAAAATGCATGATATCTTCAGAAATAGAGACTTACCTTCAACCTCTGGGAGGCAACCAAGGTCAATAGTAGTAGCCTATAGTATTTGGGAATCTCTTGGACTCCCCTGACCAGCAATTCATATGGAGATTTCTTATGTCTGATTTGGGGTTTTTGTTAGTCTATGGCTCTTGCAGGGAACTAGCCTAGGTGGGAAAATGACATTTAAAGTTTCTATATGTATTTACATAGACATATGTATCTATGTAATTTTAGATAAATAAATAATATGATTCATTATGACTTTTCTAGAAGTCTTATTATTGTTTTATTCTCCTCCCTGCCTCTCTTGTGTTGACCTCCCTTCCCTCTTTTAATTCATCCCCCATTTTCCCATTTCCCCCATCAAATTACTTTTACTTTGCTATTCTCTTCTCTATTGTCCCTTCCCCTTGGTCCCTTTTGACTTTGCTGGATTCTGCAGTTACTCCAGGTTATATACTCGCATATGAAGGTTTGGAGTTAAGAGTCACAGATGAGAAAGAACATGTGGTATTTGTGTTTCTGAGTCTGGGTTACCTCACTCAGTAGAACTTTTCCAGTTCTACTCATTTGCTTGCAAATTTCATGATTTCATTTTTCTTTCCAGCTGAATAGTATTCCATTGTATATATGTACCATGTTTTTATTATCCATTTGTCAGTTGAAGGACATTTATGTTGTTCCTATTTTCTAACTATTGTGAATAGAGCAATGAACATGGCTGAGCAAGTATCCATGGAGTAGGATATCAAGTCCATTGGGTGTATGCCAAGGAGTAGTATAGCTGGGTCATATGTTATTTATTTGTAGCTTTTTGAGGACTCTCAACCCTGATTTGCCAAGTGACTGGACTAGTTTGCAGTCCTACCAACAGTTAGTGAGAACTCCCTCTTTCTCACAACCTCTGCAGCCTCTGTTGCTGGTTGTTTTGTTGGTGTTTGCCATTCTGACTGGAGTAAGATGAAATCACAAAGTTGTTTTGGTTTACATTTTCTTAATTGCTAGGGATGATGAAATTTTCGAGACATTTCTCAGCCATTTTTTTCCTTCTTTTGAGGACTCTCTCTTCAGTTTAGATATATAGCTAGCAAGTAATCCAGAGTTCAGACAGAAACATTTCAAGGAAATTAGGAAAATACTGGAATGAAAATAAAATGAAAAGTTTGTGAATACCTCTAAAGCAGTACATGAAGGGAGGTGACAGCTTCAAACGGCATATTCAGATGAAAAAGGTGGACAATTATCTAAGCTACTTTTATAAAACTTAAAAAAGAAGAAAATTAAAGTATAAAAATATCAAAACAAGTTAATAAAAAATAAAAATCAATAAAATTGAAAGTGTTTTTTGAAAAGCTTAATAAGATTGAAAACTTCTACTTAGACTAATCAAGAAAAGATGCCAGCAAAACACTACCATGAAAAGTATTTTATTATTAGAGATAATAAAAGGGTAATAGGACATTATGAATTGTTTACCAGAATTAGTTTCATAACTTGAATGAAATAGACAAATTCTTTAAAAGAAACTGATCGCCAGAATGGATGTAAGAAGAAACAGAAAATCTGAATGGTCCCATAACTGTTTAAAAAATGGAATTTATAGTTAAAATCTGTCTTATAAAGAACTGCAGTCCTTTTGTGTGTAGTCACTGCTGCTGTGTGCTCACGTGACAGCTTTGTCACGTGCAGCCAATGCTCTTGCAAATACTGTTTCTTCACGTACATCCACCATCTCTGGCTCTTAGGATCTTTCAACTCCGTCTCCCATGATCACTGCATGCACAAGACTTGCACAAGAGCAAGTCAGGCAAAGTTCCAGCTTGGGTGGGAGGGGCTCATGAAGTTTCACCCCTAGCACACGAGCTATTGGCAATTGATGACTGCTGGAGGAGAGAGAATCAGGTTCTTCAGGGATATGGCCTCTGATAAATTGCCCATGACCCAGCAGATTCTCCTACACCCACACACATACTGGCAGGACTAAGTAGACTTCTAAGCTTTTTTTTTTTTTTTTTTTTTTAATAAACACACATGAAGTTGATAGGGAGTGTCCTTAGTGGGTCTTTGATGCAGCTACCCCGTTTTCATAGCTGAGGATCGTGAGTTCTAGAATGTCAAAACATATTATACACAAACATGAAGTTCTCTGACCACAAGAGGGAGAGTGGCCCCAAGCGCAAGTAATCTTCCATATAAGTTCTCACAATTATCAGGAAGAAAACAATATAAACCCAACACGGTTTTCCCCAGAAAGCAGAGGAAAAGACCAGGGGCCAAGAGGATCAAAAATGAGCTGGGAGGAGACCTTTCACTGTCCTTGAAATGGGAGATGAGACATGTGATTGAAGATGATCTGTCTGAGGGTGGAGAGTCCGCGGGGACAATCCTGACATGGTTACCTTTCCATATGTGGTATGGAATGGTGTGCATCTGTTACAGGTCTTGGGTGAGGTATTGCCATCAAGAGTACCAGTGCCTCGGAGTGAAGGAGGGATGGAAAGGGTCCCTGACAGAAATTAAGTTACGGGCTGCCTGTGAGGAGAAGTAAGATGGTGAAGGTCTTGGACAGAAAGTGACAGTTACAGATGGAGTAAAGTAAGTTACAGATTGACAGGGAACTGAGAAGTACCAGCCACAGAGAGAGGATAAACAAAAAGTACAGACTTCATCAGAACAGACAAACAGCTCCATCAAAGGGATGGGAGAAGCCCCCCAGAGGTAGATGTCCATGAGGTTGTGGTTGGGGCTCTGAGTCTGACTTTTTTATAGGCCTTCGGATTTCTTCTCCTTCCTAGGGTATTCTCTCTTGGATAGGCTCTTTCTCAGAATGAGGTTAGCAGTTTGTAGCAGCGGCAATCTGTGAGGAGCTGGAGGAAATAACCCTGCCCTTCTTACAGGGACTCAT